CAGCAGGAGATGGTTATTGAATAGCCCCGAGCCTGCTGTATGCATGCACTGGCATTGTAGAAAACGTTAAAAGATGCCAACTGGTGCAAAGATTTCCCTTAAAGGGTGACTGAGTGGTATCTTCATTGACCTCACCTTTTTCAGCCTCCCTTCTGCCCCTTGTTTTGCTATCCTGAGCAGTGGTGAAAAGAAGAGGGGTACAATTAGCTCTGTGCTTAAGTTTGCACACATAATAATATTGTGTGCTTTGGAAATGAACATTAATAAAGTGTTAGTCTCCCTCTTCCCTCCAAATTTATGGAGAAGCACTGACAGTGCAGCAGTGAGCCACAATCTTAGAATGGTTTGGGTTGGAAGGGACCTTTAAAGATCATCTAGACCAACCCCCCTGCCGTGAGCAGAAAGGCTAAAACAAAACCATCTGAGCTTGAGCAGATTTTTTCAGCTTAGACCTTCAACCTTGTCTGAGCTGAGAGAAAGCAGCACTCCTTAGTTTCCCGTTACATCAGAGAGGGTGTGTTGGAGTAGGACACTGCATGGATATGCATCTTCTGCTTTGGCATGCTCTGCTCTCACACATCTCTGAGCTTTGGTACACATGCAAGCATGTAAAGTCCATCAGAATGCAGACATGTTTCTCCTGAAGGACAGTGATTTGTTGTGGGTGCATTGTTGTGATGCATTGTGTTTTCACAATCTGCTCAGCCCAACTTCACTCATAATAAACTGCATGACTGTGAAAACATGCTTTGTGTAACACTCTAATTTTGATAGTTTGGCTGTTCTTTTTACATGCCAGTAGCCCAAGTGCTTCCTGAGTACAGTTTTCCTTGTGTGACACTGTGTTTGGTTACTAAATATTCCAAGTCCAAAAAGACTAACAAATCCTATTTTTGCTTTCCATTTAGGGTGGTGTAAATACCAGCATAAGGCATGGTGGTATTTATGTGAAAGCCATTATTCCTAAGGGAGCAGCTGAAGCAGATGGCAGAATAGAAAAAGGTAATATTTCAGTTTTTTCAGTTAAGACTCTTAAATGTGGAAAAAAAAGGGGCGGATAACTGTCCGTGGTGGACTTGACAATACACTGTGGCCTAGAAGCTTGGAACTCTGCCTCCTTTCATGGTACGTTTTTAAATGGGAATAGGAGCTGTTTTTCCAAGCTACTGCATTTGCAGTTGTCATTTTAAGTATTGCCTTAATAACTAATTCTGTGGGTAAAGATGAAAAAAAAAAGTAGAACAACTGTAGAACCAATAGAAAATGGCTGAGACTGTGGAGGGGAAAAATAGAAGATGGGTCACAAGAATGTTTTTTGGTTCTAAAGCAGCCTGTTCCAGCCATGGAGAGTGAAGGCTCTGTATTATTTGTTGCCTTCTTGCTTGGCATGCTGAGCAACTCAGAATAAAAAATCATTGTAATTGGTACAGCTTTTCTTGTTTGTAAGCCAGGCCACATTCTTTACTGAAGTGAGAATTCCCCCCTGTAGACTAAGATTTGTTTTTAATAAAGAGTCTGAGCTTCGTGGCAAGCTGATGGTTAAAACTAACTTGAGGTGGGGTTATCCTGTAGAATCATAAAATCATTTAGGTTGGAAAAGACCTTTCAGATCATTGAGTCCCAACTTTATACTTTAGTTGCAAAGTTGACTCAGAGTGTGGAGGGGAGGGAGAATTTACTTCAGTAATGGTCCTTGGTAGCTGAAACTTGCAGGTTTGTGTGTGTCATGTACATTTAATAGATGATGTTCTGCCTACTTTTTCTTAAATTATTAATCAATCATTTGTAGGTGACCGTGTGCTCTCTGTCAATGGGATTAGTTTGGAAGGTGCCACTCATAAGCAAGCTGTTGAAATGCTGAGAAACACTGGGCAGGTAAGCAGCTGCTGCTTGTTCCCCTGTCTGTAGTAAACCAGATTTTAATGAGTAAAAAGAGGTAAAGGAATGTGAAGACTGGAATTCTCCCCAGTGTCCTGGTTGTTTTAGGTGTGCTTTCTTAGACTCCTTGGCTTTCTGGGCCTCAAGTCTTGCTGCTCATCCTAGTAAAATTCTGGTCCTCAGACACATGGTCTGAATCTTGGCATTGTCCTATGCTAGGGCAAGAGTTGGACTCGCTGATTTTTGTGGGTCCCTTCCAACTCACAACATTCTATGATTCTATTCTATGATGCTGTGTGTGGGTGAGAGGTCTGCATGGACTTGGTTTCTCCTTGTCCTTGGGTTTCATAGGGAGGAAGTCCAGGTGCATGGATTGGAAAGCAGCTGTAGCAGCGCACTACAGACGGGTTCCAAATCTGAACCACTGAGGAGACAAGGGCCTCCATATATGCAGCTGTGTTTGTGTGCTGTGTCGGGAGCTTTACTTGAGTTTTGGCCTTTTTGGATAGTGCTTGATTCTGTCAACGGTGTCTCCTCATTTAATAACAATTGTTATGGCAGCTGCTCTGTATGTGGAAGTACATGCACACCTGAAAATAGTCAGTGAACTTAATTCTATTTCTTGTAGGCATGTGAAAATGACAGTGTTTTTGACACTTCTTAACCCCCTCACAGCCTTACTGGAAGAAAACCCTTTCTTACTCTGTGTTGGCAAGTATCTTGCAAGTCCATTAGTGTGTTTTGAAGGTTGTACAGCCCTTAAAAGATGGAACAAATGGAGGATGTATGGGGAGGGAGGGAGGTACCTATAAAGTTTGCTGCGGTAAAACTTAGGACCCTGTCAAATTAGAGACAAACACGTGCTCTAGACTGTGCTATCTCCATCACTGTTGCCAGTTAACTGGAGAATGTTTCTTCTCTTTAGGTGGTGCATCTGCTGTTGGAAAAAGGTCAGCTTTCGGTGGCCAAGGTTCATGCTCCAGTAACACCACAATGCACACCTCCAAATCAGGTGGGGCAATGTGAGCCACAGGAGAAACCAGCGACAAAAACTACAAGTGCCAAGGATTACAGCTTTGTCACTGCAGGTCAGGTCACATCAAAAAATTGTCTGAACTTTCAAAGCATCCTTGGGTTTTTATAACATTTTTCTTCAAATATTCTGTAGAATAGAAAGATGGACAAGAGAAAGAGCTGGCAGGAATCTATACTGAGCCCCTGCACATAATGCACTCTTTCTTTTTGTGCTGTCATGGTTGTTTTTAAGATTTCCTTTCACATCTTGGTAATTTTGTATAGTTACTATTAACTGTTTGCGCTGTTCCATGTTGTTTCCCAATTTCATGAGCCTTGCAGGCCAGGGCTGTAGCAAGGATGGAGTAAAAGGGATGCTGCTATCTCTGGTGCTGTGAAGGGAGTGCCAAGGGGAGGTTAAGATACTCATATATAATTAGAGCTTCTGTAGGTTCTACTGTTCCTGTCTAGGTGAGAGAAGACATCAAGATGGATGAAGAGAGAAGAGGGATTTGTGTAGATGACTAGAGGATGGCATATTACTGGAGAACTGTGACAGAGTGGAGGGAAGCCTACCCAGATGGGGAAACCATTGCAGATACCTTTTGGGCTTCCTGCATGTGATTTATCCTGTCTATTAGGAGCTCCAGTTGTTGCTCTCACTAATGTCTGATCATAGAATCATAGAATCACAGAATGGTTTGGATTGGAAGGGACCTTAAAGATCATCTAGTTCCACCCCCCCTGCCATCAGCAGGGACACCTTCCACTAGACCAGGTTGCTCAAAGCCTCATCCAGCCTGGTCTTAAACACTTCCAGGGAGGGGGCATCAACAACTTCCTTGGGCTACCTGGGACAGTGTCTGACCACCCTTACAGTGAAGAACTTCTTCCTAATATCTAATCTAAACCTCCCCTCTTTCAGCTTAAACCCATTTCCCCTCGGCTTGTCATTAGTTGTCCTTATGAAAAGTCCCTCCCCAGCTTTCTTGTAGGCCCCCTTCAGGAACTGGAAGGCCGCTATAAGATCTCCCCGGAGTCTTCTCTTTTTCAGGCTGAACAGCCCCAACTCTCTCAGCCTGTCCTCATAGGAGAGGTGCTCCAGCCCTTGGATCATCCTGGTGGCCCTTCTCTGGCCTTGTTCTAACTGGTCCATGTCCTTCTTATGTTGGGGGCTCCAGAACTGGATGCAGTAGCCACCAAGGTTTTGTCACTCTGTCCTTTAACAGGCTCCTTCATGGACTTTCTGGGAGACAGTATTTTGGAGACACTCTGGCTTTCTGTGTAGTGTGGATGTTGTCAGGGCAAGCCAGCAAACTGAGAAGTCATGATCAGCTTTCTGTCCTATTTGACTTGGAGGGATCTTTTAGACAACACTTGTGTTCAGTAAAGCGGAAGAACCCTGTGAGGGGAAGAGTGTGTATTGTCATGTCTGGTGTAAGAGTGCCAGCCACTTTTTTTTCATGGCCAGTGTGCTGTAGGAAATAATAAGTTAATGTTTCTTTTGCAGAGAACACATTTGAGGTAAAGCTGTTGAAGAATAGCTCGGGTCTCGGGTTCAGTTTCTGCCGTGAAGATAACCTTACCCCAGACCAACTGGACTCAACTATTGTGAGGGTGAAAAAGCTCTTCCCTGGGCAGCCTGCCGCAGAAAGCGGGCAGATGGAAATTGGGGATGTCATTCTGAAAGTGAATGGGGCATCTCTGAAGGGTTTATCCCAGCAGGTTTGTATTTTAGTAGTGAAATTTATGTGGTGGTAGTCCTGCAAGTCCTGGGGGTCTGTGTCTAATAATGAATCCCACTATGACCGTAGGAAGTCATCTCTGCTCTGAGAGGAACATCCCCAGAAGTCTCTCTTCTCCTATGTCGGCCACCATCTGGCATACTACCAGACATTGATCCTTCTTTGTTGGTAAGGTGCATGGCATATGATTTATTTTATTTTTAATTGCTATTTGAAGGTTCATTTATTCAATCTGGTGGGTGGGTTAGTTAAATGCGAGATGCAGATGGAAAGATGGGGAGGGCACTCACAGAAACCTGGTTCTTACAGTAAATCCCTCAGGAGTGTACTAAACATTTTGTAGAAATGTGAAAAGAATGCAAGGCTTTAATAATTATTATTTTTTCTACCATTTTGTGGCTTAAGATATTGGAAATTGGCTTAATACACTGGATTTGTGGTGGGGGTTTCTTTGCAGCCCAATGATTTGAAGTTGAGCTCAAGTAGAAACGGATTATTTCTGTAACATATGTGAAAAGTACTCTGCAAAATACCAATTAGTCTGGTTTTTATGCATGTAAAACCAGGGAAAAGATTGCTATATTTACTTACTGGAAATTAGAGGTTTTCCAAAGGGTATTTTCAAAATGCTCCCCTAAGTGAATAAAAAAACCCAGAAGGTTGTTTTAGGATGCTTGGAAGAAGTGGAAATTAAATGTGTTTCAGCAAAAGAAAACATAGGGGGAATTTGCCTAAAAAGTAGTCATTCTTTAATACAGGAAAGTGTAAAACTGATGGAGACAGGGCTTCAATGTAAGTTATTTTAATATTTTCAAACAAAAAAAGACCAAACAAAACATTCAAGTCTGATAACAGAAACTTAAATGTACAAATACAAATTTGAGTGAAGTTAGAGGTAAGCAACTGAACAAACTAATAATACAAATGACTTGTCCTGTAATTAACCTGTTTGTAGTATGGAATAACTTTGATAAAACAGCACATCTATTAAAAGAAGAGAAAAAACAATAAACAAATGACAATTTCTGTTTATAACGTTATCATGGATTAGTGTGTTCGTAAACACAAAAATTTGGCCTTAAAAGCGTAAATGAAGTTTTTAAACTTCATGTGTCTCTTAACTGACATCAGTCTTGGGAATATATGACTTTTGGCAAAGCTGTTCTTCATTCTTATGGGTGCTAATAACTTGGCTGAACAGTCTGGCAAGTTATCATAAACTGGCATAAATTATCATAGTTTTTGTAGTCTGTTACGTAGCTTTTTGCTTGAAAACTTCCCTGTTTCTCTCCTGCTTGAGATTAGTTTGACTTCAGTTGCACTGTGGGCGTCAGCAGTGTGTTCTGGTGGAAGGGATTTCATTGTAATTGCCTAGATGACTGCTGGGTGTAGCTTAAAGGCATCTGTCAGTAGGCTCTCCAAGGCTAAAGCCAAAAGTATATTTGTTTTCCATAGATGAATTTGCAATTCTTTAGCAATATAAGTTTCAAAGTTTTGCACACTTTGTCTTGACCAAGTTGTGTAGAACTTGGTGAAACTGTGCTGTTGTATGTTTACACAGTTGAGGCGACATATAAATGGAAGGAGCCACTGACTAATTGCTTTTGGTAATTTTCTGCAGTCTTTGCAACTTTCTTTTGTCATCAGAACTGATGTTTGATGAATTAAATGTCCTTGCTCTCTGTAGACTCCCATCCATTCACCCCAACAAGTATTTCCAGATGTCAGCAGAGAAGTTTCTGGTCCATCAGATGGAGAACAAGGTGACAGCTCAGATGAAAATGAAACTACTGATCTGAGCACGAAAAGACTAAAATCTCCCTCTAGAAGAGACAGCTACAGTGACAGCAGCAGGAGTGGTGAGGAGGAGGTGATAGACTCGCCTGCACAGGCAGGCCTTGGCTGGGGTTCTGCACTGTACCAAGCTTCAGATGAAGCTGTGACACACAGTCAGTATGAGGCACATGGCAGTCAGGAGGAGGCTGTTCGCACCGTCGTGTATTCTGATCAAGAGGCTCCTGGCAAGTCAGAGCTTGAGGACAGGTATGCTATTTATAATGATCCTGGTAATATTCCAGAAGGTGTTCACAAAAATAGTTTACTGGGACCTGTTCATAGAAATACTTTCTTTGTTTTACTTTTTACATCTGCATAAAGTCAATATTGACCCATCATTGATGGGTGACAGCCATGTTGTCCAAGCTGACCCTTGGTTTTTTTGCTTGTTGATCTGTAGTAATCTGCTATTGGATTTGCCATCGATCCCAACCTGTAGAACTGTTCCTGATGTTACCACATCTGTTTTAATAAATGACTGTTATGCTACTCCTGCTTCTGAGCTGACTCCACACCTGGGAGGAATGGATTCATTACTCAGCCAGTTGGAAAAAAACACTGAAGAATACGAGCCAGTAATTTACTATTTCTGTTTTCTAGTAGCATAAATGTACCTACTGCTGCAGCCAGCTGGAAGTTGTTTTAGTCATGGTATTGGGAGTGACTGGATGGAAGTTAAGCATATTAGTTTACAAATGGGATAGTTGTAGGTTACACTTGGCACTACCCTGGGTGTGTGCCTTACAAATGGCACACATAACACATGCCATTTGTAACCAGTGAGCAGCAGCTGCTCATGTAAATGTCTGCAGGTATTTTCTGTCTGGGCTTTTGAGGAATTGATATATTTCCCTCTGTGAATATGGAGGCATCCATGTGTACATAGTTAGATGTGTATATGTCTTCTTTTTTGTGTCATTTCAGCCTGGAAAATTTGGCATTAAATATTTACCTACCTCTAAACCATGTATTCAGACGAAGCTTAAATGGCAGATATCTTGGTTCTACCCTGTTAGTTTTCTGTGTGGTTGGTCAGAACTCAGAGGATAAATTGGGATAGCAGGGATATCAGGAGACCCTGTTCTTTGCTGCATTTTATATCTATGAGTCCCAAGGACTTCCTGCTCTGCTGCAAAATGCAGTGTTTTTTGAGACTCTTATGAAATAGCTTCTTGCCATCCCAGAGTTGGTTGTTTATCAGAACGAACTTCTGCTTCCATATCCTCTCATAATCTATTCACAGATTGAAAACAATGAAAACTGAGCCTTGATATGCCTCAATTGTGAGAGTCTTTCAGGTTACAAAGCTATTCTAGCCCATACTCCATTTTGAAAAGAAACAAACTGTCCTTTTCTTAGTCCCTTCATCAGAAGCTTTTCTCAAACCTTCCTGGTTCTCTGTGAGTTTCTGTACAAATGAGGCAGATCTGTATGTTCCAAACCAAAATTCATGCAAATTAAAATAGGCAAACCATGTCCATGTGTTCAGTTCTGAGATAAGCTATAGTATTGTATCTCATTGTAGGAAAATACATTCACCTGCTTTCTTCAGTTGAATAATTCCTCATACGTTGTCTTATTTGAAAAATAGAGAACCTTTTTTATATAAGGCAGTTAGTTGAGGGTAAAATAAGGTGTCAGCTTTGGCATGTGCCTTCATTATTTTGTTTAGATCCTAGGCCTTTGGCCCAAGATTAGCTCCACACAAAACAGTAGTCTGTCTAAATTAATTAGAGGTGCTTTCTTGAAGCAGCTAAGCTGAGCTTGCTAAGACACGTCTTGGTAGTGTCCAGGCTTGTGTTCCACTTAAACCAATAGGTAAATCAGCTGTCTATTTCTAACTGTTTTAAATTCAGTAAACTGTTCAAACTGCTTCTGAGTGTCTGTGTTGTAAAGTGCTGTTTTCTTCTCCTAGGAAGTAGAGCTCCGAGTCACTATGGCAAAGTCAGAAAAGGGTAGTCTGGGTTTTACAGTGACCAAAGGTAACGATAACATTGGCTGCTACATTCATGACATTGTTCAGGATCCTGCCAAAAGTGATGGGAGACTGCGACCTGGAGACCGACTGATAAAAGTGAGAAAAATTAATGTTTTCAGATACAGAGATTGCATGAAAAGGCTGAGTTTGAGTCCAAAAAAAGCTAACTCTATTATGGGCCACAGTAAACATGGTTAAAGAACCAAGGCATGCACCTTCTGAGAGGCATAGTTTGATAGCACTTAGGCAAAAGAAGTACAAATATGAAAACATGTGAGAAGATTGCTGAGTTATGTATGCTCCACAGCTAGGCATGTGTGCAACTACTGTTCATGATGGCAAAAAATGGCTTAAAGAGGACAGCATTCATTGGTTAAATGAGATGGTTGCTCAGAGGAAATAAATTTTGACATTTGCTGTAGAAGAGTTTACCAGGCACATAGCATGTAGTACAGATGTTCATCATAAAATTTTAAAATAGTTTGGGTTGGAAGGGACCTTTCAAGGCCATCTAGTGGTGGCCTGCAGTGAGCAGGGCCAGATCAGGTTGCTCAGAGCCCCATCCAGCCTGACCTTGAATGTTTCCAGGGATGGGGCTTCTATCACCTTTCTGGGCAACCTGGGACAATGTTTTACCACCCTCATTGTAAAAAATTTCTTCCTTACATCTAGTCTGAATCTCTTTTCTTTTAGTTTAAAACTATTGCCCCTTGTCCTATCTCAACAGACCTTACTAAAAAGTTTGTCCCTATTTTTCTTAGAGACCCCTTTAAGTATTGAAAGGCCGCAATAAGATCTCCCTGGAGCCTTCTCCTCTCCAGGATAACCAAACCCAACTCTCTCAGCCTGTCCTCACAGCAGAGCTGCTCCAGCCCTCTGATCATTTTTGTGGCCTTCTCTGGACCTGCTTCAACAGGTCCATGTCTTTCCTGTGCTGAGGACTCCAGAACTGGAGGCAGCACTGCAGGTGGGGTGTCAGGAGAGCAGAGCAGAGGGGCAGAATCCCCTCCCTCGACCTGCTGCCCACGCTGCTCTGGGTGCAGCCCAGGACATGGTTATTGGCCTCTGGGCTGTTAGCACACGTTGCTAGCTCATGTTGAGTTTCTTGTCCACCAGCTCCCCAAGTCCTTCTCCTCAGGGCTGCTCTCCATCCCTTCATCCCCCGGCCTGTACTGATAACAAGGGATTGCCCCAGCCCAGGTGCAGGACCTTACACTTGGCCTTGTTGAACCTTATGAGGTTCACACAGGCCCACTTTTCAAGCTTGTTCATGTCCTTCTAAATGACATCCCATCCCTTATAGTATTAGTTTATTATCAACTGAAAACTTGCATTTAGGCTCATAAAGACTGTGAGCAATAGTGACAAATTGCATAACACAGGGCACGTGTGAGTCATTGCTAGATCAGGACATTGAAACTCTGCTGAATACTATTAAACCTTAATCAAGTTAGGGAAATACAAATCAAATTGGATTAAGTTGTGAATCAGACTTTCAGGTGTTGGCCTATGTGGTTATAGCATTCCAATTTTTTTAAATAGGAACAGTAAAATAATATATTACTTCAGATTGTTTAATATTTTGACATTTGGAGTGTAAACTTGTTTCTTCACTTGAGAAAGTTCAGTTACATTTATGTGTTTTATCTCCTTGGGGCTAAGTATGATGAACTGCAACTGTTGTTGATAAAGAATCTGTTGCTTTGTCCTTTAATGTCAACTGTCAACCATAGGAACAAATAATATGTAATAAATATTTCCACAGTAATGCTTACTGTTTTACTTGGAACCTAACAAGGCTGTTGCTTTTATTTTCGCAGGTTAATGACATTGATGTCACTAACATGAGTCATACTGATGCAGTCAACTTTCTCCGTGCTGCCCCAAAGACTGTCAGATTAGTGCTAGGACGGGTTTTGGAGTTACCCAAGATGCCAGTGTTGCCTCATTTACTGCCTGATATTACACTAATGTGCCATAAGGAGGAGCTAGGTAACACAGAAATATACTGCTTTTTGCTCTAAAGCAAAACTTTTCCCTTCAATTACAAAGAACAAACTTAATTTTTACCTTTTTTTTTTTTTTCTCTTCCCCTTGCAAAGGTTTGTTGTTATCAGGAGGTCATGACAGCCTTTACCAAGTTGTGTATATTAGTGACATTCTCCCCAGATCAGTTGCTGCCAGAGAGAAGAGTCTTCGTGCGCTAGATATTATCCATTACATTAATGGAGTAAGCACACAGGGAATGACTCTGAAAGAAGCTAAAAGAATGCTGGAAACATGCCTTCCAAAAGTGGTGCTCAAAGCGACCAGGTATGTTCTGGACCACGTTTTCCAGAGAAGCTGTGGCTGCCCCCTCCCTGGAAGTGTTCCAGGCCAGGCTGGATGAGGCTTTGAGCAACCTGGTCTAGTGGAAGGTGTCCCTGCTGATGGCAGGGGGGTTGGAACTGGATGATCTTTAAGGTCCTTTCCAACCCAAACCATTCTGTGATTCTATGTTTTGGAAGCAAATGCTTCCCTGTCCTTTTTGTTTTTCTTTCATGATTATATTATGGGTAAAACATGTTCCTGATATGACAACTAATGCACCAGAGTGGTTCTGGGTGGCATGTTACTGAGGTCTGATGCCACAAAAAGGGTCTGTATACTCACAGGTTTTGTGCTTCAGTGGAGCAAAAGGTTACTTAGTACTTGCTGTGCTATGTGTTTCTTGGGGAGACAAGCCTGTGTCCAGCTATGAAGTGCAAGTGTTCAAAATGTAATTTTCAAAATATGACACAGATTATTTAAAAGCAATTAATTGTGGGTTTTTTTTAATTGCTACTGAGAGTTCCATAATCATAAAAAGGACACAAAATATTGTTTCATGACAGTTTTACTGTCACGTGGATGTCCCAGTACACTGGTGGATGTCAAAAGCCTACAGCACAGATCCTAGTGCACCCTTATATTTTCACTGATCCCTGCTGCTTCTTTTTTGGCAATATAGCAGTCTAAAAAACTCTCCAGATTATTCTGTTTTAATATTTACCTGAGACTGAAACACTGACTTCATTTTTTAACTCTTCCAGCTGTGCCTGCTGTTCTTTGCGTCCTCTCTCCCTTTCTCCTTCCCACTCTGTTTTATCCCAGAAAGGGAAGGAGTTGCAAAGTCCTGCAGCTGCAGGGTTGAATCTTTCTGTCAGAATTTAGAAGGAAAGCCCAGCTCTAACAAACCCTTCGGTGCTCCCTGAAGTAGGAACTGACCTAACTACCAGTGCTTAATCTCTCTCGTTGAATGTTTGAAGTATTCCAAAACTATTGTAATAGAAAGCATAATTAACAGCTTTACTTATAGTACATATTTACACCAAGATCTGATGATTACCATTATTTATTTATTTATAATAAAACATTTCTTTTCATAGGGATGGTCATGCAGTGCTTCCAAAATCTAAAAGCCCCGATAGCTCAAATCCATGGCCAATGAAAACGAATGGTAAGATGTGTTTGCTTACTTATTGCAAGTGAAATTAAATGCACATGTTTATAAAAATGAAGGAACTGATATGGGCCTTAAGATACCAGCCAAGTCCAATGGCTGCACTAGAACTTCACTTACTGAGATCAGCTCCAGCAGATGTTTGCTTGATCTTTCTTTTAAAAGCTCCACAAAAAGAGATTTAATAATAGTGTCTTTATGATTCCATTTCTTTTGTAGTTTAATATCAAGCCTAAGTCTTTCAAGGAGTTTTAAAAAAATCAATTTATTATCAGCATCATAATTGTTATTAATAATAATAATGTTGTTGTTCTTTCCTCTGACAAGGCATAAAAATAGCAATTTGCTGCATTTGAAAGGGCTTTGGATCTCCCATTGGTTGTCTTTTTTCCAAGACCAAAGGAGCCCAAATTGATTTTATTGCTCCCATCCAGTTTGTTTACATCTCACTGTTTTGGTGCCTCTGGTCACACAGACAGCATTGGATGATGCTCACCAGTGGCAAGCAGACAGGAAGAATTGTTTCCAGGGTTGTGTAGACAGCTGTTAATACATCCTGAGTGAGATTAACTTCCTTTTGCTAAATGCTTCCTTGCTCATTCACTTAGACTCAGAATCCTTTACCACCTACATTTGTGTATGTGCAGAGCAACTGCTTACACAGTTACTTTCCATCTTAAGCATTTGCTTTTTCTCTGAAATGTGGCACTTTGCA